CTTCACACTGAAACTTCTTGTGAAAATAAATTGTTAATATGGAAAAATCACCTCTTCATTATACAAATAATGGGAAGTGCTAATGAGGATATATATTTACGTATTTCTCGTTTCAAGGGACCTGTCCCTAAAACGCTAAAAATTATTTTAACTAGTAAATCTAGTACAATATGCTTGGATAAATTCGTGATATACAAATACAATTTAATATTTCCTGTGTTTTTCCAAATAGAAAAAATAAATACTGTCGCTCTACAACATATTTTGGGATTTGAAATTACATGCACATTTATGTTTGATGAACTAAAATCAAATAGCTATGAGATGGGTAATAACAAACTGCTTTCTGAAGTAGAATGTCCAATCTGTGTCGATTATATGAGGCCACCCATTTATATGTGCTCCACAGGACATAGTTTATGTGGAAAGTGCAAAGAGAAATTGTCAAAATGTCCTTTATGTTTCAACCAAGTTGGTGATACTAGGAATTATTCTTTAGAGAGAATTGCCGAAATTATTACGTATCCTTGTATTTTACAGGAAACATCGAAAATATGTTGGATCATGAATGGCTTTGCTCCAGATCACCTGTTGATGACATAACTTGTTTAGCAAATAATCATTGTAAATGGAAGGGGCAATATAGTGAAGCTTTTCAAGATATTGCTTTATGGCATCCTGAATTTTGTTTCTCTCTGGGGTATCCAACGTCAATACATATAAGAGTTGCAGTATTAGGATATTTTGACTACGACAAAAAGGTTTTTAAGATGTGTATTGAATGGAATAAAAATAAAAAAAGTGGAATGAATTGGTCTCTTGCGTATATTAAAAACAATGATGAATGTACTGACGAATACCTGTTCCACTTAGATTTCGGGAATTATATTAGATTTTTTACGATCAGCGATATTTGTCATAGAATAGGTGCAGCAGCTGCAAATAGAAATAGTGTACAATTTGTTAACATACCACTTTATCAAATTAGACCTTTTATAAAAGAGAATAAGATAACTTTTACATTGAATATAGTTAAATTGAGTTGATTTTGTTCTGTTTACTATACGTCTAGTTATAACTACAATAGTCTCTGTTCATCATTATTTAATAAAACAAGCATATAAAATAATTGCTTTTCGAAATGAAGTGTTTCTTTTTTAATCATTATATTTACTTTAATAGAAATTAATACCGAAACATGAGCTGGTGATATGACTAATTAATTTTAAATATTCAACGAATAGGTAAACTAAGTAGGTATCTCCATTGTTGGAACACTATCAAGAAAAAAGTGGGTAAAAATGGGCTTTATATTTGATAAAATGAAATTAGTCGCAAGTGAGGCGAAATTACTAAGCAAAAAATAAGAAATATTAAATTATTGTTCTTTTCTGATTTATTTTTGTTGTAAATATTTTCAATAAATGCCAAAATCTCGGGGCAGTTCGTTTTTTAAGTTTTACTCGAAAATTAGGCTTTTTTCGAAAAACGTAAGAGAGTAGTAATTTGTAGAAAATTAAAAGACGAATCCGAGAATATTGGTTGGTTATTACTGTAAAGCAGTGATGTACTATTTTATTTAGAAAAATATGCTCTGTATCTCCGCCACTGGAACATGTATATTTTAGGAAAAGCCCTCAAATTTTGGACAATGTTTACATAAATACATGTGCCCCATTTCCAATTATTTCACTTACTAGTTTTTAAATTATTTAAAAAAAATTTAAAATATTTTTTGGCGTCCTAAATAAAAAACTTTATAGGAAAGACTCCCCTTGAAATTCACCAAAGAATACGAGGTTTCATATTTGGCCATCATCACCGTGTATAAGAGTGGCTGCATGAAAAGTGAAACACACGGTATATTGTTCAGCTTACTGTTCAGGCTCCCATGATACATACCTAGAAGTGATCAATTTCATGCCTCAAGTTGAGACACTAAGAATTGCTGGATCATTCGTCGAATGTTCTACTTGTGGCATACTGATTAGAATTATGTAATAGGTTCTAAATCGGTATATGTCTGGTGGTTCGGCTAATACTAGTTGTTTAACAAATATCAATATAATTCAATGGTGGTCGGGACATTAGTCAGCAGAGTAGTTGTTTCTTGCAATACTATCAGTTTAACAATTATTTCTGATAAGGAATTTATTAATTATTGGCGTGTATCTCGTTGAAGTTGTCTGGTGAGCAGGCGATACTATGTTCGCGTTACAGTTTTAACAATATTTTTTTGAATAATCTTTAGATATACAATGTGTCCGGGTACTTGATACAAAAAAGTCAAGTACAAATAGATGAGATCAAAATAATATCAGTTCTTCATATAAATTTTTTTCATACGGGCCTTCGTTAACATCGATAAGATAATATAATAGCGATTGTTATTGTATCAAATAAATATATTAAGCATTATTTCTTTATATTTAAGCATTATATAGAAGACCAAGACATTATATATATGGAAATTATATATAGAAGCAAGTTTTTATAATATTGAATATTTTCGAATATTGAAAATTTTCCTTCAAAAACAAATATTTTATTTCGATGCCTTCCCAGTTTGGAAACATTTAATGATGGAAACTGAATAATTTTGATAGGAATAATTATGTAGTAATTTCCAATTTGAAGCTCTTTTCTATGAACTTCCGTTATCTTTTTTAAGTTGAAAGATGCGATAGAACGATTACTGATGCCTCGTTCTTTAAAATAATATTAAATATACAATCTTTTTTGATTTTAAGATGGTTATGACGATAGAACACGTCTTCAATTTTTTCGCAAGATTTTTGTTGACATTGGTAAAATTAATTTTTCTCATTAAAAATAAGGTATGATTTCATAGGGAATTATTTTGTTTTGAATAGCAACAGGATATAAGAAAAATGTTTTGAGTGTCATAGTCGTTAAAATTATACAATGAATTAAGAAAATTATTCTCTGGACTTTGTATAATAACTGTTCGATTAAAGGCGTATAAGTTTTGCAGTTAATTTATTATTAGCAAATGTTATAGTATAGCACTGAGTACTTAATTTAATTAACGATCATTTTCCAAAATTATTAAATTAACACTATACAGTTAAAATATTTGTAAAAATTGTGACTATTAATCTTATATCGAAGCAAGTGATCATTTTGATTAAGGTAATCTAATACGATATCGACTGTTCTGCCAATCTCAGAGTGTAAGGTAACGAATAGCCATTTCGATATTTTGCGACCAAGATTTATCAAACTACGTTTAAATCTCATGTGTTTGTAATTAGTTTTTAATAAAGGGCCATTGTGATTTAACAGTGACTGTACTTGTTTTATTAGTTTATCAAACATAAGTATCAGTAAAATTTCTCCTTTCAATAATAAAATTTTCTTGTTCTTGTAGATTTGATTTGATTTTATTCGTTCCGAAATGTATTTTGAATAACTTTTATTTAAGCTAGTAGACTAAGGAGACAAATCCCAAAAAATAAAGTAGGTATCTGTATGTAGAATGTTTATTAAAATTACTAAATATTTAAGGTAGTGTGAAGATGTGTATTTTAAATAGTGTCTAAGTATAATTTTAAGATTATTATAACTATTAAACTTAATTCATTGTAGTATTAGTCCAAGCGCTAGTGGCCGCTTCAGTGACTTATTGGTTTATTTAAAATTCTATTTAAAGTTTATTTTGGTATCTAACAATTTTTTGTATTTTTAAACTAAATTTAATGAACCATCCATCTTTTATCATTTTCTTTATTTTAAGAAAGTTACATACTTAAATAAAAAATCGTTATGTGATATAAAACAATAATCATATCAAATTGAGCAAAACTGATTAAATTTTATGATTTGTTCTGATAACCTTCCTTGTGTCAAGATATTTTTCATTGCGAGTGGCTAACTTGGAATAAATTTAACAATACATTAAACACAAATTTGTTAAGTAAAAAATGGTGCCCTTTTTTCATAAAAAATTTTGTACAGCGCCTCAACTAGGAAATATGAAATATGAGATTTTTTAAATATTTCTCCATTACTTTTGAAAAAAGCATTAGGTATAGTACATGACGATAATTCACAGGGATTATTCTTTTTAAACATATACAGGGTGTTACGATATTCTCGGACACGGACTCTGGGATCATGTTAAGCTAGATAAGGTCATAGAAAAATGTCTCTATCATTTTTCAATCAGACCGATATTTTTCGAGATATGGCAGTTTTAAATATCGAAAAATAATAAAAATTTTCAATTTTTAATAATTTGATAAACAATTATGACAAACGAATTGTTCAAAATTTCCACCACCTACCATCTCTGGCGTTGTTTGTTGTATTGTTGAAACAGACAGCTCTATAACAATTAATGACAATACAGAAAACATTTATCAATACTCTGACATCGTTAGAGTACAGTAAAAGTACCTGTCAATACGAACTGCAAAATAGTAGGCCACAATTATTCAAATCGTGAATAGTATGATATGCTGATGGCTCTCGGAGCTTCAAATAATCGTACAAGTGAAGCAGTGCGGTTGGCTTGGCAGAGGCGGTCCATTTGCTTGGCTACTTCGTTCTCCAGACCTAACGCCATGTGATTTTTTATTTTGGGGCTTCTTAAAAACGTTGGTGTACAGTACACCAGTAGCAAATTTGAACGAATTGCAGAACCGCCTATTTCAATCAATACAGCAAATAACAGAAGAGGTGATAAGCAACTCCATTAGAACAGTAGCACAATGTGCTTAAGTATGTTTAACAGCAGACGGTGGAAATTTTGAACAATTGTTGTAACTCGTTTGTCGTAATTGTTTATCTAATAATTGAAAATTGAAATTTATAAATAAATATTTTTATTATTTTTGGATATTTGATACAGCTATATCTCGAAAAATACTGGTCTGATTGAAAAATCATAAAGACACTTTTTTTATCACCTTATCTAGCTTAATATGATCCCACAGTCCGTGTCCGCGAATTTTGTAACACCCTGTATATCTCCCATCTATCGGGAAATATACCAGTACAGAACCAGAGATTTACCAGGTACGTAAAAGTTCTCTAATCACATTTTTAATACCTTCCTAATAAAAACAGGTAGGTATCTCAACCTGTTAAGGTTACCTGTAGGTATTAGGGTTTTCCCGCAATCCGAAGACATTAATTGTAAATTAAAGTAGTATATAACTTAATAATATATATTTTAAGATAAATTCTAGTAAGCAGGTAACAAACTTTTCATAGCAATAAATACAAGGTGTCGTTGACATTAGACATATTTCAGAGACTACTTCGATTCTAATTTTGAAAATTTGGGCAATAGTGTTTTCGGGCATGCCCTTCTCAACTAAAATAATGGCGTCCACCTAACGCTTCCGGTTATACCGGAAGTTGACGTCACGTTCGTTATTTTAAATGGAACAGCCTGTATATTATTGCAATTTTGGACTCTATGTCAATTTTTAGGAGAACTTTCATAAAGGTTTCCTATTCTTAAAGTTAACTGTTTCAAAAAGATGTGTGTTTTACAACAATAAAGTTAGAGTGATAAAATTTATAGGGAACATAATTAAAACTCTAAACTTCCCTGCCATAATTTCAAAATGACTTAATTTCATACAGGGTGGTAAACATTTAATTCCGAATTTAGTCAACTTTTAAATCACCTTAATTTATTGTATATTTTTGCGCAACATTTTCTCTTTTAAATGGTATAACGGTTCCCTATACCTATCTCTTCTGGTTTTATTTACTATTTTTCGTGGAACTTCAAAACAAGCACCTAATCTCTCACCAGTTTATAGTTGTCAATTTAACACATGCAGTGAATGTTCATATGAGTATTATTTATAGTTAAAGAATGGAAAATGTTAACGTTTATTCAAATGCTGACATTCTAAATTTATTATTATTGCAGGGTATTTAATGAGAATTTTAAGAAACCAATCAGAACATGGTCTGCACATAGAATTTTGCCAAAGCCGATAACTTCAGATGAAACATCGTCAATGTTTTGGCATATTTTCGTGTTTATCCTGAATCATTAGTTCGTGCTGCTGAATTTAGGCATTTCAAAAACCTCCATCCAAAAGATTTTGAAAACTAATGGTCAGCATCCATCTAACTTCAATTTTGTACCTGCACTTCATCTCGGAAATGCAAGAAGATCCAGAGTTTTTACGCAAAATCATAAAACCAGAAGAGATAGGAAGAGTATAGGGAACCATTACACCATTCGAAAGAGAACAAAATTGTTCATTAAGTTGCGCAAAAATGTACAAAGTTGACTAAATTCGGCATGAATTTTTTACCACCCTGTATGAAATTAAGTCATTTTGAAATTATGGCAGGAAAGCTTAGAGTTTTAATTATGTCCCCTACAGATCTTATCGATCTAACGTTACTATTGTATAATATACATCTTTTTGAATTAGGCAGTGCTTTATTTTTTTTTTTGAAAAAAAATTAAATATGTCCAATCTTTAAGAATATGAAACCTTTATGAAAGTTCACCTAAAAATTGACGTAGAATCCAAAATTGCAATAATATACAGGGCGTCCCATTTAAAATAACGAAGATGACGTCAACTTCCGGTATAACAGGAAGCTTTAGGTGGACACCATTATTTTAGTTAAGAAGAGTATGCCCGAAAACACTATTGCTCATATTTTCAAAATTAAAATCGAAGTAGTCCCTGAAATATACCCAATGTCTCGTCACCGTGGGACACCCTGTATTTTTGCTGCGAGAACGAGTTACTCCACATTTAACGTCGAGAGCACACGCTTGTCTTCCTTAAAAATTGTTTGTAAATACTCTATGTATATAAGTGGTTAAATATAATAATTATTGAAACAAATACTATAGCTTGTTTTAGTCCAAGAGCCCGTGGCATTTTGAGGGCTACCCCCGTGTTGAAAAATGTAAAAAAAATTAATAGTACCAAAGTTGAAATTGTTTGTATACTTTGTTTTTAACAATATTTTGAGAATTGAATGCATCTACAACGTTTTTGTAACTACGACATTCGTGTAAGTGTCTCACCTATACCTGCTACAGTCGAAGACCGAAACTTATACAGGCTCGGAAAGTCCCCATGGTTCATCGGCCGTTACGTGAGTGCGATAAAGTCATAGAAATCCGTGCGATAGAGAAGGATGGCTATAATGAAGGCGTCTTATAGTCACCGCCCGTTTCACCCTTCCACAAATAAGATCCACTTCCACTTGTAATTCAGCAACCGGTGGTCATCTTTGTTCTCGTCGTTTGCCTTTTCTTTAATAGATGTCACTACTTATACAGTTGCGACTTCGGTATTCCGATATGTTAATACAATCCGTTAACAGAGGGCAGCACAACGCGTAACAAAGAAAACTTTTTACGGTAGCTAGTAGATACCTCTGTTTGTAAATCTAGTGACCTTGTTTCCCCTACTGAGAAGTTATTCAAATGGAGTATAGTGCTCAGCTCCATTTAAAGTTCATTTAGTTGTTATTTAAGTATACTTTGCCCTCTGTTAACGGATTGTATTAACATATCGGAAAACTGGAGTCGGAATTGTATAAGTCTACTAAAGAAAAGCCAAATGACGAAAACAAAGATGACCACCGGTCGCTGAATTACAAGTGAAAGTGGATCTTGTTTGTGGAAGGGCGAAACGGGCGCTGACTATGAGACGCCTTCATTATAGCCATCCTTCTCTATCGCACGGATTTCTATGACTTACTTTATCGCTCTCACGTAACGGTCGATATACCATGGGGACTTTCCGACCCTGTATACCCGCTATTAAAGTTTACAGAATAAATATTCTGTAAACTTTGCTGCTATAGTCGACTAATATTATCGTAAATCAGCCCCGGACTATTTCTGGTCCCTCGAGAAAGTATTCTACAAGAGTACAATACTACTCGCAGGTGTGGTACAGCAGTACAAATCAGTGAAGAATGCAGTCACGGAAACTAAACATTCATAAATATTCAGACTTTGATTTGAGCTTATTCACATCATTTACATATATAGTGGTGATGCAAATTGCAGTTTGTTAATCTTGATATATTTATAAAATAATTATTAAAAGTGATAATTTGATGTAGGTATATAATTTTGTTCTGATTATACCTTGTTTCTGTTAATTTATAACTATTTATAATGAAAAGATATGTCCTTTTTATTATAGTTACAAACGGGTCTCAGTTTTTAAGGAATTTGTAAAATTATTTATTGGGTTCTCATTAAACGCTGTTATAATGGGCTAGGAAATAACTAATGTCCGTTTTTTTTTCAAATTTAAAAATTCACATGGAAATTAAACGCATTTTCAAATTGACACATATCATTCGAAAGGGACTTACTGCTCTATCAGACTTTTTTGTTGATTGCTTCGTTAGACTTAATTTTTGTGAATTTTCGATTGAGAAAAGAAAAAGAAAAATTTGAAAATGTCAAGTTGATAAAATTGATCATTTTCAGCACTTGCTTCTTTTTGTTTTTAATCGAGACAGGGAAAACTCTAAAGCCCCTCAAGCTGCTCTCTGGAAATTTGTGTCGTATATGGCGATGATACGATGAATGAACGAACGGCCTGTTGTTTATTTTTAGTTTTAAATAAGGTGATTTCAACCTTAGAGATATGAATTTTATTACGGTTATATTGATCATATAAAAAATAAATATTATCTTGAAGAAAAACAATGTGGCTTATCTTAGAAATTCGTTACACGATAAATTCTAATCTCATATTATGGAATATGCGAAGTTAGTAAATAAATACTGGCATATAATTCGGGGCATTACAGACAGCTAAGTGTATAAAATATCAGACATTATCACATAAGGCGTAGTAGCAAAAACACTGCTGTTGTGAGTTTGGAAGCGTGTTTTAACGTAAGTCTATTTAGCTAAGCTAAATTAATTTATATATTATATTCATATATTTAAATAATTTGTGTTATTTTTTATAAAAGAAGTGTTTGAAACTTGATCCTGTACAATATTAAAAGATAGTAAGTGGTAAGTAGCAAATTCTATGTACCAGTGTAGAGAATGAGAAAATTGCAAAACATGAGTGTCATTTATAGGAACAAGGCTACCTAAACTTATTTTTAGTACTTTAATTTTTAATATTATCACTTTCGGTTTCACCAGAAATTATTTCAATTTCTTAAAATATTGTATATTTCTTACACAGGTGTGTAGAATGTGTTCTTACGTTGAAATGGTAAAAGATTTATTTTCAATAGTACGAGAGATAATTTAGAAAAAGTGTGCCATATGTATAATGTATATACACATATTCTAAACATCTTATCTGTCGTATTTTTTTTTATAAATAATGAGTTTAGGAGATATAAACCAAACTCTTGTTTTTTTATAATGGGGCACTACTATATCTGTCTTTTTTGAAATCCTCTTTTTTCCCCTACAGATCTTATATTTGTGACAGTTTACACAATATTTTGATTTTTTTTAATGACCCCTACACAATATACAGACAAATCAAAATTCATTTGAACTTTGAAGGCAAGGTGCGCAGCGGCAAGGAAGTGGAGTGGGAAATCTGCTGCCTGCATTTCCATCTCATTCTACATGAAGTGGACTCTTTTTTTAATTTATGCATTTGAGAGCTTATTCGATTACTTACTTCCTCCATCATAAGAAAAAGTACACAGGGTTCAGATCACCAGTTCCTGCGAAACATAAAATTGTCCCTTTATAGAAGACTTAAAGTTAAAAGAAAGATCTCTACATATACATAATAGGATAAAATTATTATAAAATATCTTTAGGTATAGTATATTTAATTCAACAATTTAGGATCTGTTTAATAAATACAGGGTATTAATGAACTTATGTCAAATATTTTTGCCACATGTCCGTTATGTCAAAATGAGCTAGGGGAAGAGCCCCACATTCAACCAGGGGGTACATTCAACCACTCATTATAATTTATCTATTATTTGAATTTGGAGCTCGTAAAAATTCTGTCACACTTGTTTTAACGGCAGCTTAGCATCAGTGTTTTGTGGGTGTTGAAAGTGATATAGTTTTAACGTGAAAAAAATAATTTTCATATTTTATGTGTCCAGGGTAAATATTTCTGATTAGAGTTTTTATTTTTTCTGGTTATAATGTTCATGTTTCCTATGTGTTATATATAACATTTATACTGAAATACCTTTCTAAAGTAAAGTTAGGTTACGGTTTTACTTGAAAGGAAACAATACTAATAACAAGACATAATATTTTGCTATGTGCGACATGGGGCACATTCAACCAGTTACATGTGGGGCACAATTAACCAGTGGTTGAATGTGTCCCACAATGATTCATCCACCGTATTGATACTAAAGTAATTAAATACTCTTTCCAGATGATGAGAAATTATAAATGTAAAACCGATAGGGCAAACATTAATGAACATAACATGAAAAATGCCATTAGAAAAGTTATATGTAGGAGATTGTCAGAAAGAGAAGCCGCAAGAAATTTTAATTTAAAAAGGGTTACCTTACACTCAAGAATTGATAAGATCAAACAAAAATATTCAACAGAAGAGCTCCCTAAATTATATGATGATGATTCTGACAGAGAAAGCTGTGCAGACAATGAAACACCCAGTTTTTCCAGTAAATATACTGTATGTCAGGTATTTACTGCTACACAAGAAGCTGAATTAGTAAACTACATTAAAACATGTTCTGATATGAACTATGGGTTGACATACAAACAGATTCGCATACTAGCATATGATTATGAAATTACCTGAACCTAATTCAGCAAAAACTGCTAGGACATCTTCATTGCTGTCTTTTAAAGCTAATTTTTCTTTGTATAACATCAGCTAATTTTTTTATATATATTTTAAAATGCAGTTATAAAAATATAAATTATTTAAAATATAAATTATTCCATGTAAAATTTATTTTTAATTTAATATGCAAATGGTTGAAAGTGCCCCAACTAAGGGGCAGATTCAACCAAATGCTGATATTTTTTCTTATTTTAATTTGTCATATTAAAAGTTATAGTTAAATAGTTTTCTGTGCTGTGGTCATATACAATACTACAAAATTTATTGTCAAGTGGTCATGCAATAAAAATATTTAAATTTGTCGCCAATATGCATACTTTAACCCAAACTGGTTGAATCTGCCCTTTCTTCCCCTAAATACACGGATTTGTGTTGAGTAAAATGTAATTTTAAGATCTGACTTACCTCAACATTGCAAGGAACCACCTTTTGAGAACTGCTGATTTTCATAGAAGATGTTCGATATACCCACTATTTGCTTACACACAAGCTTCAGCGTGACGTATCCAATTCGCTCGCACGCGTTGGAACATTGCCACGTCCTCTCGAATGCTTCGGCAATACGATGTCGTATTGCGTGGAATACATAATACTTTTCATATATCCCCACAAAAAGAAGTCTAAAGGAGTGAGGTCCAGCGATCGGGAAAAATAATGTTTAGAAAGTCGTGCATTTAATGGCACGTCTTCCAATAACTCCGGCAAGCCATTTTGCAAAAAATCTGGATATGAAGCACTGTCTAAGCGTCTAGGTAATTCAAAAGGACCTATTAAAGTGTCATTAACGATACCGGCCCACATGTTCACTGAAAACTATTGCTGAAAGGCATCGCGACGTATTTCCTGTGTGGATTTTCGATAGTCCATAAATATTTGCGCTGTAAATTGCATGTTCCTGGCGTAGTGGAAAATCCTCAGGAGTAAGCTCTTGAACACGTTGAATATGAAATGGGTACAACTGAGCTTCTCGTAATGTCCGCCACATAACATGATGCGAAATATTTACTTTCTGTATGATATTTGTGGTGCTACGATGCGGATCTTCTTCGGCGAGATCTAAAATTATCTCCTCACATTTAAGATTCTTTGTGGTCGCCCTGGGCCACCATCGCGTCGCGATCTCGACGCGTTGTACTTCACCGGTGTCCAAAACTCTTTGCGCTACAGCAACAAATGTTTACGGTGGGGGGTCACGTCGTTCAGGATATCTTGCATAGTACACTTGACAAGCTCTGTGGGCATTTTAGTTTGCTTCGCCATAAATTATAAGCATATCTTAATATTCGCGATTGCTAAATAAATGCTCCATTTTCAAAAGAAAACTTGGAAATACGGCTATTAAATGTACTCTCGAAAAACAGCCAGCAATCACTAGAACAATGTATTACAAATTGACTTTTAAATACAGTCTGGTATCATAAGAAACCTACAAATTCGTAAAAAGCAGATTTTTTTGTACTTGCTGCGATAAAATACATGTATTTCAGCAGTTCCAAAACAGTTTTCAATATATTTATAATTAGCTTTTTTCTCTATGACCTTAGACTTCGGATACAAATTTGTGACATCAATTAACTCAGTTTTTTCTCCTTTTTCACCCCTTTAAATTTTTGACATAAGTTCATTAACGCCCTGTATAACGGTATATGATACATATATTGAACGTTTAAAAAATAATTTTATATTCTCTATTATCTAAGCAAATAATATATTTTTGTTCAAACTTGGTGCACAATAAACATAATAAAAGGCTAATATTTTTAAGTGAGAAACATTTTTCCACAAGGCAATGGGAAAAATCCAACCGTCTTATCTTACAGTTCGAGATGTTATCTAAATTGAGTGCTATTCTCATAATAAATACACTTAGATATTGAATTATCATGCCATTTTTGTCTGTGCTAATCTATAGATTATAAGTTGCGCTAGCATGCACATATCTATAAGTACTTGAATAAATCAAGAAACTGCTGATTAGCATTAGCTCTTATAAAATAAATACTTAAACAATCGATGTACCCACTTTTATCCTTGATGAGCCTTGATGATACAAATTTTGGTAAACCTTTAACATGAATTTTCAGTACCAGAAGCATTCAAATATTGATTACACCACAATTTCCATATAGAAAAGTTGAGCCGGCCCTTTAATAGATAATTTTACTAGATAATTCATTTGTAATTAGCTGTTACGTTTTCTAACATATTTAGTTATCCTTGATATCTTTAGCGCTAAATTTCTAAAATTATAGTTTCCGCATCTTGATCGTGTTATTTATTTATATATTTATTTATTTATTTTACTTAATTCACCCAACTTTAGAAACCCAATTACAGGATGAATATTACAGCTACAATAAATACACATTAACACAAGAAGCATAAACATTTAAAATAAGTAAAAATAAAAATAAAAATTACCAAAAAGTACAAACCTTAATCAGAAACAAGTCAGTTAATCAATAAAAAAATAGCTAAACGGTAAAGTCACATAAGAATTAATATATCTAAAAATCATCATAACAACATACCTAAGTAATACAAAAATAAAAAAGAAATTGAAAACCGATAACTCAATTGTGAGAATAGAAAATTCTTTTAATATGGGCTATAGAAGTATTGAAAATGTCTAGACTATTGTCCATGAAACGTTAACAAATTTAATAATTATTGTTCCATTCGTGTGTAAAATTCAAATGCATATTGGTTCCTCTGTCTACAGCCAGTGATCAACGAAAACACATTTACTATATCCATTTATTATCTAATTTTTTGAAAAATTAAAAATTCGTGAAAAAATTTTACAAATTTGTTTGAAAATTTGGTAATTAACAAAAGTTACCTAATGCTATTTTTGTTTACTACAATAAGTAATTAACCAAAAAAATTGTTAATTTTTTCCGAAAATTAATAACATCAAAATAAAATTACCAACCATTTACTATAATTAGCAATTAGCCCCAAAAATATTGTTAATTTTATGCGAAAATTAGTAATTGGGCAGAAAATATTAATTTTTTATGGACATTAGTAGTTAGATAGGAAATATTAGCAATTTTTATCAAAAATTAATAATTAGTCCGAAAATATTCCTAATTTTTATTAAAATTAGTAATTCGGTTGAAAATATAAAAATTTGACAATTAAGTACAAATTTTAACAAAAAATGAACAATTAATCAAAAAAGCTTTCGTAACAGAATTACTATTCAATTTTGACATGTAAATTTATTAGGTAATGAGTTAATTCAAAATAAGAGCAAATAATAGTTTTAATTACAAATACATATTTACTTTTATTATTTGTATTGGCTCAATCATATTTTGTAATTAAATAACTTAAAAATCTTTACTTATTTATAATGTACTGATGTACCAAAAATCTCACATTGAAAAAGCAGACAAACATAAAATACGCATCACTATACAGGGTGTTCACCTTTTAAATCTACTAACTTTAACAGTTCATGTGAACATCGTAAATCGCTTCCTAATCGAGAAAAAAATTTTTTAAGTGCCTAATTAGCCTTATAACATACATAATAATTCTAATTGATACTACTGAAATCGATAATTGGTTTAGTAAAAAAAAAGTGACACAACCGTTGACTTCTTATAACTGCACCTTTTACATTATAAGAATATACATACACTGTGTTAGAAGATTGACTGACTTAATTTTAACAGACGATAGAATACATTAAAATAAACAAAAAACTGATATGGGTCCTACACTCGACCATTTCCGAGAAAAAAAAAATACCTAAATCTCCATCTTGATTAATTAAGAAATATTAACATAACAGTGTGCATAGAATACCATAAAATATAATGTTTATCACTTTTTTAACTTCCTTAAGCATAATTCTAAATAACAATTAGCGTTGTAATAAATTTAAAATTCGATAAAATTCATATCGAACAATGTGACAACGGCGCGGCGATTATAATAACACGAGGTACTAAGGTGTCCACTAATTCATAATTCATTTGGTATATGGAATTCGACCGTGGGGGAGTGTTTTTTGCGTACCACTATTTCCTTTTCCTGAGGTGTTTTCCAGCGAGTGCATTGAAAATGGTGGTGGACATTTTGAGCATATGTTGTAGTTTGTTTTGTAATTGTGCGTTTAAAATTACTGAATTCTACTTTTTGGTAAGTAGCTATCCAAATTATTTTCAATATGTACTCCCTAATATTCTTACTCGCTGTATTCTAAAAATTGTTAATCTTACGCCCCTGTAATATACAACTTTTTTGTTCATTTATAATTACTCTATCTCATGCTGGAGTAATGGTAGTCAAACTTCTTACACTCTGTATATGTTAGTATCTGCATAATAGTATGAACCAGAAAGAGGCAGTGTCCGGCGATTGGTAAATATCCATTTCAAAAACGAAAATGACTGTTCAAAATTTACCGAGGTCACAGATGCGTATATCTAAAATAGTCGAAGTTTTTAATAGGTGCTATTTTTAAGTAATGGTGGCGAACATCAATTACTTCACATTTTAGTACCTAATCACACGCATCATCATACAATAACTTGTACACTCGACGCAAGATAAAGGTTTCAAACCTAACCTAAAATGCGTACAACTTTCTAAGGGGCGAGCCGGTGGACTATTAATAGGAATTTTGGCATCAATAATTAGGGGCGTGTCATATATTTTTTGTATATGCACGTGTGTAACGACACATAACAAAAAATTGCAGGCCTGAAGTATATGCATTATAAAAAGAGAAGAGTACACAGGTTTTGAAATTATTTTGTCTTGCCACATTATTTTTCTTGTCCCTGAGAAAATTAATATTTTGAAATAAGAATTTGTGTCATATTCTGCAGAAAGTAGGTAGGTAGGTCATGAAGGCAACAAAATAAAAAAATATTGTAAATTACAGTTTTATTATAACTTATACAATTTCGGGAGGAAAAGGAAATATTTTAAGGACTTGTTCTGGAAGTGAAACTAAGTAAATAAGTTCATGACATTATGGGTCCGGAAATGTTTCCTTTCTGAGATAGATGTCGAAAGAAATTTAAAATCCGTTTTTTTCTAAATATCTCGAAAACGATTCAAGATATTACACTGCCACTGTACTATACACCAAAGCTAAGTGTAATATCTTAAATCGTTTTCGAAATATTTAGAAGAACAGTATTTTTTTAAATTTTACATCAATCAGAAAGGAAGTATTTCCAGGCCCATAATGTTATGAATTTATTTACTTATTTTGACATCATTTTATAAACAATGGAAAACGGTCTAATATGTCCAACCATAGTGTCCAACCACCATCCGAATCAATAACGGCTTGTAATCTGTTTGGCATAGATATAACAAGGCGTCGTATATAATTCACGTCTATAGCGTTCCAAATATTTTGTATACGTTCCCATAGCGTATCTTTATTTTGTGGGATATCGTCATACTGTTCATTCAACTGACGCATTACATAAGCCCATAAATGTTTTTTTATAAGAAGTAATTTCCATTTCATTTCATTCCAAAATATTGATTAGAATCCGAGTTATCACGGAAATATTATTTTTGGGGGTTGAACATGAGGGTTAGTTTGCATCCGTTTAAATCCGTTTATGCTAAAAGAAAAAATATTAGTCCTTATTAATATGTATTTACCTTTTTGAGATTAACAATGGATATTGAGCATACAATAATTTAAAGAAACACACGTTTACTGACGCACGCGCATTGATAATAGCGAAGAAATAATCTATCTTTGTCATAAGCATACGAGTTGTCCACAACTTCGGTACCATGAGTGCGACAAAGCGAACGTGATTTTTTATCTTTGTCCTGGCAATGTCGTAGGAGCTAAATACAATTCAAAATATAAAAAGGCAAATAAATTTGTATCTGTCTAAAAAACAAACTTAAAAAAAAATTCGAACGCAACTTTTCATTATTTTCAATAATCAATCTAATAGTATAGAAAAAAATTGTTTTAGTTTTGTTACATCATTAAAATTAGCGATTAAAAATTTGAAATTATACTATTTCTCTGAAAAGAAATGTTACATTATTTAGAGTAGATTGAAAAAAAATACAAAATTCATTCATTTTTCTGCTTGTTATGATTTTTTTAAATTTCTGATATCTTCCCTTAACTTCCAGCCTCCCTAACTCTGTTAATTTTAATAGTACAAGAAAAAGTCAAGAGGCCATTTTTATGTAGAATTGTATGCTTTACAACTTTTGTGAGAAACTTCAACTGATTTCATTGCGGGCACCTATACAGTGTTCATTAATGGCGTACAGAGAAAAACCAGAGGCCCATTCTGTGGCTAAAATTAAGTAAATTTTGTTACACCCACTTAGGCTCTTAAGGCCGCCGTTTTCGAGCTGCAGGGTTTTTAAAATTAAAAAAAATAATAAAATTTTTAATTTTCTTAAATCCATTCAATCCAGTCTAACTATTCGTAAGTAGGTAGTAGACGTTTTGCAAGATTTATTAACTAGGATGAATCGATTTTTCTATTGTAATGTAAATGCAACTCTTTTAATAGAAACAAGATAATAAAAAATGCATACGGGGTCTGCTATAAGAGTTTGCCGATTAGTCCCATTTTAAAAATGCCAATCTACCAGGAAAGCATTTTTGTACAAAACTCGTAAAATGTCAGATGTGACGGTAAAATATTGCCACACGAGTTTAATGGGAACGCCCCATATAGACAAGCGGTTAAGCCGTCATATTTCAAACAAAATACGATTCAGATTGGAAACCTTTATCTTGCGTCGAGTGTACATGTATACTAGCATAATATAGATTACTACTGTTTATTTATTTGATGTCGCCACAAAGTTTCCAATTTCTAGTCCAGAGGGTAATTTGTTTTCGAATCTACAAATATATAAATTTAAAATTTAATGAAACAAATCTTTTAGATTTAGAGCGACCAAAACTTTAGCAAAAATATTAATTAGGGTTTTAAACAAAATTACCCATAGAGAATCTTAAGGTAATAATCTAACAGTTAACTAGCAATACTACTAATTTATGTTTCTAGCAGAGAGAGAACTGTGGAGGATAACGGGACTGGACTTCTGCAGCTCCTGTTGATTAGATTTCAAAATGAACAAGAAATATCAGAATCTTTATGACCCTACAGTGGTACGAGTAAGTAATTTTAACTTGGCATGAAACAAAAAATCCTTATAGTTTATTTGTGGAATAGTAGCTAATTTCTTCTAAATATCATCACTAATGAATAAATTAATTCTCAAACGTACTGCTTCGGAATCAATTTCTAGAGAGATTTGGTATTTCCTAAAAAGAAAATAAAAATACTTTAAAAATAAGGTGCAGCAGAGGACAATGTAAAATTCCCAACTACAAATATAGTGCTCTAAAATGAACAAGATTTTATTAATTTCGAAAACTTTTTTGCTCACAGCCCTAAACCTATCTTTCGTTCAACCTCTATTGTTATTTAAAATTTTGCAGAGCTTCTGGATAACTGTTGGATAAAATAAATACTTAATAAGGATAAATTTATATCAAATCTTAATATGAAATCGAAATTTTCAAATTGTTTCAATAATAAAAATTTAGTAATATAATGAAATCAGCGCAACAAAATATAGGTTACAACAGCTAAATAAATTAGACACAAAAATTTAGGGATAGAAAAAAAGTTTGTAGTTTCAGGATCTGAAAGTCAAAAATGTTTATCGCTGACCATCTTTAATAATAATAAATCCAACGGAAAAAGTTTTGAAAGTTTTTGTTTCCCCTTCAAAATAATTTTTTCAATCCCACCTATTAGCTTTTTTACTTTGACTCATCCTCTTTAATTTGAGCTATTGAAAAGCTGTGTACGATGATTCGTCGCCGAGTTATCGCCGTTCAAAAACATTTTTATAGTATATATTTTTATAGTTTAAAAAGATAAACATTTTTATTTTATATTCTACGGAAAAAAGTACACTTGGTAAAAAGTTTTGCTTCTATTTAAAATGAAGTTAAAGAAATATGAAAATGTCACTAGGAAAAGTTGTTCGGAATTTTAAAATATAAAATAATTTCCATGTGTGGCAAAGTTGATCAACATTGATTATTTACAAAAAATTATGTCGATGGTTGAAGAAAGTCAGGAATCTGGAGGAACTGTAATTGTTGCTATTTTTATGTGTAATAGTATGAAAAAAGTTATGGCAAAATTGGTATTCATTGTTTATTAAAAGATTTGTAGACGGATTTAATTGATATGAGTGAAAACTCTGTTCCTCTATTATCGGAAAGAGCTATTTTTTATAGAAAACCTTGTGATTTAAAATAATAATCGTTTAATTCTTGAAGTTATTTCACTTTATTTCAAATAGTAATATGTGACGAAAATGACTTTAATTAATTGCTTGTTGTGTCAATGTACTTCTTTTAGAATAAAAAACAATAATTGTTCACAGTACTACTGTAAGGGTGGCAACATTTATCGCCAACTAGTACAAGAATTCAATGAAAAATATCCAGATGTGCATATGCTCAGTTGTCTTTACATAAAATACTTCAAACATTTTTATGAACAGGACTGTTCAAAATACCGAGGTTGAAGAAAAACTATGACGATGAAGATGCTACCACTGTGCTAGTTCTATTTGTCTGTAGGTTGGAGGAATGAAATACGAAATTTCCGTCAACAGATTATGTTTTCAGACGTTTTCGACAAATAACATTGCTGCCTCATCATTTGTGATATCAGGGTGTCGAGAATCCCCATTTTAGAATACCATCTAGGCGACAATATTAAAAATAAATAAGTGTTTGGTGTGCAGTTTCCTTTTATGGAATTATAGGATCATACTTTTTGAAGATATATGCAACGGGACATCTAAACAATTTTTTTGAATGTAAAGAGGACTCTTACAAATACAATTTTGTAAAAAAAACAAAAAAAAATTTGGTCCAAGGCAAAGCAAAGTTTAATAAGAAATGAACGGACAAAAAATTGAAAGAATTTGTTTCCCAAAGAAAGAAATAAATAAAATTTATTATTTTATATCAGAAAAGTCAACTGCATTTGCTGCTATTGTTATTATTTATTAATTAATAAAATTAATTGGTGGTTTTAATTAATAAATTAATTTGATATACCTGTTGTTACAACACATTTGGGCAGGTCTTACCCAGTTTCTACGAGTTAATAGAAATGTTGTCTTGCTTCACCATAACCCAAATATAATAAATTAAAACGATATCCATCAACTCCGAGTTGCTATATACGTAAACCATTTTTGACATTCGAAAAACTAATGTAAACACTATCGCAAAAACGTTAATAGTAAAATCGGAATTCAGTATTCGGAATCGCTTGGGGTCACGTGGAAAGAAAGCGCATTGCGCGCAGGGCACAACGCGAATGACGCTAGAGACTACAGTAGCCCAGCGATGTAAGGGTTGAAAATATTACAACTTCAATCATTTTTTTCTCCGAAACTAGAAGGATTTTGCAAAAAATTTTTTACGATATTGTCTCCATTTTTCACGACACATCTATTCCCAATTTTTTTTTTTTCATAAGTTGTGAATCACCCTGTATACTCTCCACGTAGCGTCATAACGTGGCGGCGGGTATAGCGGCTCAATATCATATCATGGTGTTTGAGATACAAAAAGCAAAATGTTGTTTTCATTTATTTATTTATCGTTTTTTTTTTTTTCAGAGACCTACAACTGTTCAGCCTAATACTTCTCTCTAAAGGTAAGTAGTTACTATTTAAACTACTAGAAAACATGTGCAGAAAATAGAAACAAATGCGACTCTTTGTCATTTGAAAATTCCAGTTTTTAGCGTACCTTTATGAGCCATAATCTGAAACATCAGTTTCATGTATGTTCTAAGTCCATGCTTCATTTGAAAGAAAGCATTTTTATTTCCAGTTTCATACAATTATTTCCTTTCAGTGCTTTGAATTGAATTTTTGTTTCTAATATTTTGCGTCGATTTCATGGACAAGTACTGTAACTAAGGCTAAAGTGGAAGAAAATAAAAGATATTCTATATAAAGTAGGGTACATAGTCTTTTAAGCACTTAGCACACAAAATGTGCTCGAAGCCTATCACATATGCGATAGGTGTCATATTTGCTACTTGCAACTTGTTGAAGCATCTGTTCCTGTATGTTATTTTTTCCTTTTTCTTCTTAATAGAAAATCACTAATCACATATTCCTAAGCTCGGATTTAAAGAGAAATGCAACTGACAAAACAAATATTTGATATCTCCGCTGTCAGATCGGTTAGAATTAAAGTAAAATTGATCGATATTGTCGTGTGCCATCAGTATTAATTGGTTAAAAATGGTTGTAGCTCTACAAGGAGGTATTTTAGAGAAAAAAGTGCAGGAATAAAACGTTTTTATTTTGACTCTATGAACACGCCTTTAATTTGAAAATCTTAACTAATTTAAGAAAAAATCTGGATTTCTACTGATCTTCAGCTATTTTTTTGAGGTTTGGTAAAATCTTGACGTGATGGAGCATTTTTCATGGTTCCATCGTCTTGTGTGGGTATCATATTTTGTTAAAAAGTACCTACATGAAAAATTTTTTTGTGACTGTTATTTGTAGTACCTACCTACTTCTGCTGTAATAAATTCGGTTTTCATCTATTTATTTGGCAACGAAGTGAAGTGATCTTTTTTTTCTTCAGTAAAAAAAACTACTAGTTCCTGATCATTTTGGCGCAAGGGTCAACTGAATTGCATTCCTTCATTTCTTCACAGGTGGCAAAATAATCAAATAAAAATAGAAAAATTGAAATTAACCCTTTTACAAAGAAATAGCTACGGGAAAATTAAATTTTGTTTCACTATATCTTTCCACCTTTCAGCAAATTATTTTTTTTTTCAGATGCTGTCAAGAGTATTTGTCTCTCATGAATATATATGCAACACAAAATGTACAAAGTGCAACAACTATCTTTCTGTACCACCGATTATTATTCGTTCAAATAATCCAGTATGTGGGAGATGTGTCACACAAACTGTCGATCCTGTGGAGAATAGAGCCTACTTTTTTGAAGATCTAGCCAAGTTTATGTTTTTTCCATGTATAAACGATATCTGTGGGTGTACCTTCCAGTCACCTTGGGGAAAAGTGTTAGACCATGAAATCCGTTGCGAATATCAAAGAATTATTTGTCCTGCAATCGAATGTGCAAATAAGATTAGGAGTGACGAAATAACGTGTCATTTTGAGAATAAACATCAGCATCTAATACTGAAACAAAATCAGTGCCTTTTACCACAATTTAATACTGAAAACTCTTGTGAAAATAAGTTATTTATGTGGAAAGATCAGCTATTCATTATTCAAATAATGGCAAGTGATAATGAGGACATATATTTTCGTATTTCCAGTTTCAAGGGGCCCGTTTCTAAAGCGCTGAAGCTCATTTTAAGTAGTAAATCAAGTTCTAGTACAATAAGCTTGGATAAATTCGTGACAGTTAAATACGCTTCAAAATTTCCTCCTTTTTACGAAACAGAAAAAATAAATACTGGTGCTCTAAAACATGTTTTGGGATCTAAAATTACGTGCGTATTTAAGTTTGATGATGAACTAAAGTCAAAAAACTCTGAAATGGGTAATAACAAACTGCTTTCTGAAATAGAATGTCTAGTCTGTGCCGATTATATGAGACCACCTATTTACATGTGCCCCACAGGGCATAGCTTATGTGGAAAATGCAAAGCGAAATTGTCAAAATGTCCTCTATGTTCCAGACAATTTGGCGATACTAGAAATTATTCTTTAGAGAGAATTGCTGAAATTATTACGTATCCTTGTAGATACAAGTATCAAGGCTGCAATTTTGCGGGAAACTTGGAAAATATTACACAACATGAATTGGTCTGCTCTATATCATTTGTGGATGAAATAGCTTGTATAGCAACTATAAGTTGCAAATGGAAGGGGCAATACAGTGAAGTTTTTCAACATATTATATCACATCACAAATATAGTTTCTATTTGGGATGTCCAATGTCAATAAATGCAAGCGCATCTACAAATACACTAGGATTTTTTGAATACGATAACAAGGTTTTTAAGCTGTATATTGAATGGAATGAAAATAAAAAAAATGAGATGCGGTGGTCTGTTACGTATGTTAAAAGCAAAGATGAGTGTTCTGATAAATATATGTTCCATTTGGATTTTGTGAGTGGCATTAGAACTTTTACGATCAGCGACATTTGCCCCAGAAAACCCGCAGCAGCTGTAAAGAAAAATTGTGTACAGTTCGTTAATATACCATTTTTTCAAATTAAACCTTTTATAAAAGAAAATAAGGTAACTTTTACATTGAACATGGTTAAAGTGTGTTGATTTTGTTCTGTTTACTATATGCCAAGTTATAACAACAGAAAGTCTATCATTATTTAATAGAACATGCATATAAAATCATTACTTTCCGAAAAGAAGTGTTTCTTTTTTAATCATTATGTTTACTTTAATATAAATTATTACTTGCTCTGAATAAGTAAAAGAATTCTTTGTACGAGTACCTGTTATTACAATTACAACATTAAAGCGCTAAATAAATATCTCCATTTTTGGACACTGTCAAGAAAAAAGTGAGTACACATGGGTTTTGTATTATATGTAATAAAATGAATCACAGGTGACAATTAACATTAAGCTGAAGATAAGAAAAGTAATAAAATGTTTGAAAAATGCATAGAAAAAGGAAGTTTCTTAGAAAAATATTATCGAATTATTTAATGTTGTTAAATTATTGTCCTTTTGTGATTTACTTTTATTGTAAACATTTTCAATAGATGTCAAAATCTTGGGGGCAGACAGATATAATTCCACGCTAAATTATTATTACTAACTGGATAAAAAATATTGAAAAAAAAATGTAATAGCTTTATACAGATCAAAAAATGAAAGGAGAATAATATCTAGTTTTATTAGTTTAGAAGTTAACTACTACAAACTAGAAAGAAGTTGACAATTATTACAAAGTAGAAAAGTTTGAGTAGTCATATCCTAAGCATTTTTAAAAATATTGCAATCAAATTTTGCACAGGGTGGTTTCTGGGGACGCTAAATTAGAATATAGTATTAATTTTTATATAAAAAATCGTCGAAAATTTTTAAAAGGTCTGCCCTTTTTTCAAATTTAAGACCAAACGTCTATGATTAAAATCAAATTTAATTACATCAAAATAATCGTTTTGGAAATAATTATGAAGTGCTGAAATGTGAAAGGGTTTCAATTTTAAATAAGGTAGATACAGAAGTGGCTCCACGAAAAGTAAAACACGCTGTATTTCGCATACTGGTGACACAGACTTTCATGGAATTTAATAATTATTGGCGTCTATCTCGTTGGAGTTGTCTCGTGAGCACACTATATTGGCGTCACAGTTTTAACAATATTTTTTTATACTTATAATGTTTAGATATACATAAGTATCTTAAATGATAAGATAATATAAAGTGTGATTAGCGATTGTTACTGTATCAAATAAATATATTAAACATCATTTCTTTATATTTAAGCACTGCATCGAAGACCAAATCAAGAAATTATATTTAGAAGCAAGTTTTTTTTATAATATTAGATATTTTCTAATATTGAAAGTTTTCTTTCAAAAACAAATATTTTATTTCTATGCCTTCCCAGTTTGGAGACATTTAATGATGGAAGCTGAATAATTTTGATAGGAATAGTTATTAAGTAAATTACAATTTGAAGTTCTTTTCTATGAACCTTCGTAATTATTGCAGAAATATCATCTTTTCTGGGTTGAAAGATACGATGGAACGATTACTGTGGGCCTCGTTCTCTAAAATAATATTAAATATGCAATCTTTTTCGATTAGAAGATGGTTGTGACAATAGAACACGTCTTTATTTTTTCGCAAGATTTTTGTTGACATTGGTAAAATTAATTTTTCTCATCAAAAATAAGGTATGATTTCACAGGGAATTATTTTGTTTTGAATAGCAACAGGATATAAGAAAAATGTTTTGAGTGTCATAGTCATTAAAATTATACAATGAATTAAGAAAATTATTCTCTGGACTTTGTATAACAACTGTTCGACTAAAGGAGTATAAGTTTTGCAGTTAATTTATTATTAGCAAATGTTATAGCACTCACTATTTAATTTCGTTCGTTTCTCAAAATGATTAAATTAACACTATACAGTTAGAATATTTGTAAAAGATTGTGACTATTTATCTTATATCGAAGCAAATGATCATTTTGATTAAGGTAATCCAATACGGTATCGATTGTTCTGCCATCCTCAGAGTGTAAGGTAACGAATAGCTATTTCGATATTTTGCCACCAAGATTTATCAAACTACGTTTAGATCTCATGTGTTGGTAATGAATTTTTAATAAAAGGTCATTGTGAATTAACAGTGACTGTACTTGTTTTATTAGTTTATCAAACATAAGTATCAGTAAAATTTCTTTGATTTTATTTTCTTCGTTCCGAAATGTATTTCGAATAACTTTTATTTAATGTAGTAAGTATAATTTTAATATTATTATAACTATTAAACTTAATTAATTGTAGTATTAGTCACGACAAAGCGGTAGTGGCCACTTCAGTGACTTATTAGTTTATGTAAAATTCTATTATGTTAATGAGAAGACAATAATCAAAACAAAGCGGACGTCATATTTATAGTAAAAATATAGCAATAAACGATTGTGGGGTACAGTTGTACCCAACACGATTTCATGAGAGTTAAGTATAGGTAGCTAAGCTTCTCAATATATGTGTGTACCTAGTTTAAGCTGATTATTTATTTATTCGTGGAATTATTTATCATTTTTGTTTCATCGGATTTCTTGTTTATTTCGGATAAATCTTGAATGTATTAGCCTTTTATATGATTCTGTACAACATTTTAACAATAATAAAATACCTTCTATGTGCATCTAATTTTGTATAATAAGTATATTTTGGTATCTAACAATTTTTTGAATTTGAGGGTATGAGTGAAACTTTTCTTATAAACTACATTTAATGAATCATCCATCTTTTATTATTTACTTTATTGTAAACAAAGTTACATACTTAAATAAGAATCGTTGTGTGATAGAAAACAATAATCACATCAAATTGCACAAAACTGATTAAATTTTCTGATTTGTTCTGATAACTTTCCTCATGTCAACGTATTTTTCAGTGTAAAATAAATTCAATTAAACACAAATTTGTTAAAAAAAATGTGTACCTACAACTAGGAAATATGACATGATTTTTTTTACATTTGAAAAAGCACTAGGTATAGTACAGGAGGATAATTCACAGGGATTATTCTTTTTAAACATAGATCATACATTTCCTACCTTTAAAATATTGGGAAATATACCAGTACAGAAGGAGAGATTTATGAGGTATGTGAAAGTTGTCTAATCACATTTTTAATACCTACCTATCTAATAAAAACATGTAGGCATCTCAACATCACCGAGATCAGGTTATTTTTCAGAAATTCTAATTTACTACTTTATACTATTCATTTCCGCTAAGGACCTAAGAAATTACTTATTTTAAGCTGACATTGATAAACATCTATAGTAATTATGGTATTAACAGTTTGTTAATCTTGGTATATTTTTATAAATATACCATAGTATATAGGGTGATTCACTAACAATGTGAAAATCGAAAGCTGAAGCTACTACACGTGAAGCGGTGACCATTGGCGCAAACATGCCTTATCCCAAAGTTGATAGTTTCGCAAATACAGGGCGTTGAAAGTTAAAATTAAATCGTTTTTTGCGATTATTCTGAAAATATGTAGGTCAGGAACTTGTAAATTAGTGAAACTATATTTTTTTAGGCGATGAATAAGACGCGTGTTACAATTTCAGCATTGCTCATAGAGGGCGCCACTTACGACCAATTTTACAGAAAATTTAGTTAATAACTTTTTACCCTGTATGTCTAACATGAAATTTGGCGCAAAACCTAAAAGAGCAATCATTTTTTTTTTCAGTAATTATGTATTCTTCATTCATTTCGGTATCTCGATCCGTTTTCGAGAAAAATCGATTTAACAAACACTGTTTGTTGTTTTGATAATACGAAAAATTAAAAGTGAAACAAACCAAATGTTTCTTCGTGTAACAATTAACAATAAAACAAATAAAATACGTACGTATCGCTGACACATACACTTTACACGTTTTCTGAGAAATCTTCGAGTTTGAAACAACATATTGGGATTGCGTCTGACTTCGTTGGCAGTAGCGATTTGTATTCTTTACCACAACTCTTCACACGAGCCAATAGATTCTTTGTAAGCTATATCTTTCATTCGAGACCAAATAGAAAAATCAAGAGGTTTGAAGTCCGGACTTCTGGGTGGCCAAGCAAAAATGCTTATATGGCCAATGCAGCGATTTGGAAAAATTGCATCTAAATATGCACGCACTGGCGGTGGAGCTCCGTCGGTCGTGCATGAACCACATGTCTCTTCTTAAATAAAGTGGAACTTCTTCAAGCCGTGGAAGCATTTTTTTCAAACTCGAAGATCTCTCAGAAAACGTTGTGTAAAGTAAAGTGAGTAAGACTTTAAATCATTATTATGAATTTCACTTGTTTTATTGTTAATTGTTGTAATAACACGAACAAACACTTGGTTTCTTTCGCTTTTAATTTCTCGTATTATCAAAACATAGTGTTCGTTAAACCGATTTTTCTCGAAAAAATATCGAGATACCGAAATGAAACAAGAATACATAATTAATGGAAAAATGATTTCTCTTTCAGGTTTTGAATCAAGTTTCATGTTAAATATATACGGTAAAAAGTTATTAACTAAATTTTCGGTAAAATTGGTCGTAAGTGGCGCCCTCTATGAGCAATGCTGAAATTACAACACGCATCTTATTCGTCGCCTAAAAAAATATAGTTTCACAAATTTTCAAGTTTCTAACCTACATATTTTCAGAATAATCGCAAAAAAACTATTTAAAATTTTAACTTTCAACACCCTGTATTTCCGAAACTATCAACTTTCGGATAAGGCATGTTTGCGCCAATGGTCACCATTTCACGTGTAGTATCTTCAGCTTTCGATTTTCCCATTGTTAATGAATCACCCTGTATAATATACAGAGTGTTTGATAAGTCGATACATTCCTTGCAGGAGGTTATAGTGCAAGTGATTTGTGACATATTTCCTTAAGGCTGGTTTTCATTTGAGGCGTCATGCTCATACCGTGTTCTCACTGTGCACCTGTCGTGTCGTATTGCGTTCATTTTCACTGTACGTTCAGGCACTGTTGTCAAACTACAACGTTCCAGTTTAAGAAATGAATCAGGACAAGGAAGACGTTGTGGTAACATGTTTTGCTTACATTCTTCTCAAGCGAAAACAGAAAAGGAGAAAGAAAAGATTCTGGATTCATCACTTATACCGGGCAAGAGGTGAGGAAGAGGAATTTCACACAATTTTCTACAGATTGATAGGTGGTCCTATCAAATTTGTGAAGTATTTCATAATGAGTTATTCAAAATTTCGAGACCTATTGGAATTGCTTCGTCCACATATTCAGAAACAACAACTCAATATTTAGATCTATCTATCTTCTAACCGCAGGCAGGTCCCATGTCGCGAATCGCTTCCTCGAGCAATTGGCAACCAACGGTTAGCGCACAGCAGGCGCACAGTTGTAACAGGACAGTTCAAGTGAAAATGAGAATTGATATTTTCCATGCTATTATATGGCGAAATATAAGTTTGAGATTCTAGACGAGACAACATGAACGGAACATGATCGGAGCACAGTACCCTAAATGAAAACCAGCCTTTAATATACCATATTCCAAAAACGCTACAGGGTGATAAAGTGTTAATAAAAAAATGCAAATTTATAAATATTTTGGAAACCGATCAGAATATTTTAATGAAATTTTACAAGCTTTAACAATTAACAACAATACATGTGATACGATAAAAATATTGTTTTTAGTTTCGCCAGTGGCGTGCGCACATGTACGTCATTGGGGATATTTTTAAAGAAAAAAATTATACTCCACCGATTTTTCTTAAAATAAAAATTATTTTTGAATTCCTTGTTCAATTTGGAAGATAAAAGGTATCTCAACTGTTTTTCTTATAACGCGCCGTTTTCCAGTAAAAAAATTAAAATCGATGTTGTACGGCGTAATCTGTTTTCAATAATTTGAAAAATAGTAGAAATTATGCACTCAGCTTTTTTTTGTACCAATTTTATTACAAAAAATTATTATTCCTCACGGTTAACATCAGTCTAAAAAAATTTTATCAGTTTTTAGATTCACTATTTACTATCTAAACAGAAATTAGCAAGTTGGCTGTGCACTCGTTTTTGTTTTTGTTTGACAAAATTAATAATAGCTGTTACTTACTAACAGAATTACGCTATGCGATAATCGATTTTAATTTTTTTATATAAGAAGAACAGCCAAGATACCTTTTCTCTTTCAAATTGAACAGGGAATTCAAAAATAATTTTTAATTTAAGAAAAATCAATGGTGTATATATATTTTTCTTTAACAATATTTAGAGACGTGCCTGCGCGCACTGAAACTAAAAACTATATTTTTATCGTGAAACATGTTAACTGTCAAAGCCTGTAGAATTTCATTAAAATATTTTGAGCGGTTTCCGCAATATTTATAAATCTGCATTTTTTAATTAAAACTTTAACACCCTGTAGATCGGAAACTAAGCGTTATCGGAATAAAGTATATTTATGAAAATATATCACAAATCACTTGTACTATAGCCTCCTGCAAAGAATGCATCGATTTACCAAACACCCTGTATACAGTGTGGACCACCAGTAACGCCTCGCTGGCTAGGGACCAAACAGCAAATATTATAGAAACCTGCATCGAGCATCATAAAAAAATAGATGAACTTTACTAAAGGTTCTGCACACCTAGGACTTATTGTTTGTGAGATATTTCAATTTTAGTGAAAATGCAGGCTTAGCGTAGAAATTTAATATGAGCAATAAAAAAATAATTTTAAGGAAACAGCTTTGAAGTGTATTTTTGATCCTTGACAATATAAATTATTGTATTTATCGTCACTTAGAATTGTACAGGGTGTTCAGAAAAATGCTCAATGTTTCTCTCAACTTTAAACAGCAATAACTTGGTTATTATAAATGGGACACCTAGTATATTTTTACTTTGGAAGTTAGGAAATTTAAAACTCTTTCAAACTGTTATAGGTTCCCTATACCTATCTCTAACGGTATTGGAGATATTTGTACCGTATCGTTTTTTATCGAATTTTTTGAAATGTTTATATTGCAAAACTTGATTATTGTCATCGATAGAATATGCCATTAAAGTTTGGCAAAACTTATCATTAACACCCTGTATAATATAATTATTTTATAATAATTATTAAAAGCGATAATCTGATGTTATAATTTTGTTCTGATTATACCTTTTTTGTATCTGTTAATTTATAACTATAATAAAAAGATGTGTCCTTTTTATTACAATTATAAAACGGGGTAGTTTGTAAAATTATGGTATTGGGTTCTCATTAAACGCTGTTATAGTAAATGGGCTAGGGAATAAGTAATGTCTGTTTTCTTTTCTTTAAAAATTCACATGAAAATTAAACGCATTGTCAAATTGACACATGTCCTTCGAAAGAGGACTTACACCCGTTGCACACATGCCGGAACTGGCTAACCGGATCCGGTTACCCGGCAGCAAGGTGTACAGAGTCTTATAGCAGCTTTCACACGTGATGGAACGAGCTATCCGGCGAACGTCTGCTGGGTTGTAGCCGGTCGCCATGACACCCGTTGCACACATGTCGGAACCGGCTAACCGGATCCGGTTACCCGGCTGCAAGGTGTACAGAGTCTTGGCAGCTTTCACACGTGACGGAGGGAGCTATCCGGCGAACGGCCGCCGG